CTCTCTCCTTAATCCTCTCTTTCACACCCTACATATGTCCCTCGCTCCCCCACTCTATCTACCACCTTCCATCTCTCTCTCTCTCTCTCTCTCTCTCTCTCTCACACACACACACACACACACACACACACTTTTCCCTCCCCCTTTCCCTCTCTCACAACTCAAAACTTAATTTTGCTCAGCATAACATTCGGCGGCTATAGAATATCCTAGAAGCTTAAATATTAAAGGGAAATCTTAGCCTTTGTAGGGGCTAAGACAACCTTTTGAACTTAATCATGGCTCATTTACTCCACCACTGTAGAGCACAAAAATTTATGGTTATACTCCATACAACAACAAATAAAGATTCAGAGGGTAAACTTTTTAATACACTGCTACACTTGACATGAGCACCATGGCAACAGTTCCATAACACAACTTGTTCTTGCAAGCAAATAACTGTTAGCACTGGTTGTTCTTTGGCCAATTATAAACGTCAAGGTTCCCATTCCGTTCGTCCTCCCGTCCCACCTCCCTATGTAACATGCCTCCTGGTACCTCATCTTCTTTGGATACTCCCATTTCGGTATTTTCCACTCTCCCACTTTTCCTTTTAGTGTTCGTTGTGCACCCCACTGCCACTGGATGGCACCCCCGTCCAAGAGTACACCTTGTTGCCACCAGGCGACATCGCCATCCAGGAGTACACCAGTCGGTACACGCCAGTCGTTGGCAAATAACAGATAGCATTGGCTGCTCTTCCACCAATTATTATCTTCAAGGTTCCCATTCCGTTTGTCCTCCTGTCCTGCACCATGGATACTCCCATTTCGGTATATTCCACCCTCCCACTTTTCATTTTCTTGTACGTTGCCGCACCCCGCTGCCACCGGACAACACCCCCACCCAGGGTGACGAATAGTCAATCCCTATATATATATGCAAGAAACCAAAATCCCAAGAGAAATAAATCTTTTTAGTTCATGTGTTCTAGTCTAGAAAGAATGCACATACAAAAAAACCACAAAAGCTAGAGGGATCAAAAAAATTACGAGGCCAAGTAAAATAGCTCAAGTATGGTCCAACATGCAATTTATGACATCATGTTCTATGCCTCAATCCTCATATCACTCTTATCAAATGAAGACAAGGGCAAGGTACATACCTGTTCTTATGTTGAAGAGGAAAAATATATGACTCAATGTGCTTAGCTGCATAAAATTAATTTTTTTTGTCAAGTAATGTCATCCAAATAATTATCTATACCAATAGATGATCATGGTAGCTAACAAACTTACGAGAGAAGTGAGCAGTCTTATACAATAATAGCCACTAAGTTATAAAATAAAATTGCCAAAATGCAGCTTCGGATCAATTATGGTCAAAGACTCTGCAAAATGCAACTCTGCGATGATAAGCTTGTTTGATCTTACATGCATTCTCTTTTACACCACACATGATAAGCTGCAAGGTACATTCCACCTCAATAGAATGGATATAAATTCAAAAGGATTGTGCACTTCCGCATTGGCAAAAATCTTGCAAGGCATAAGCCACAAACCATGAAATATATTACAGAAAAATATTCATAATTTCACATCTTAGAATTTAGAGACATGTAGGAGATAGGAACACATGCTTGTAGTGATTCAGCAAGAAATTTGAAAGTGAAAGCAAGATAAACAACTTACTGATGCGCACAGAACACTGTGGAATTGAAATTTGGGTTGCCGCATTGCAATGGTCTGCTATGGTCCTGCAGTAATATGTGTAAGAAAGCAAAATTAGAGTGTCTCTTGGCATAGTATACTGAAATTAAATCTACCTTTCCTCCAATCTGATAAATAAATGCACGTAGGAAGAGAAGAATATCATACATGATATTTCTCAAGTATTTAGCACCATACCATATCAGCAATACAAGAGTGACAAAAATTCAGTGAAAATGTTAAGAACAGAGAAGCAGGTAGCTTGGCTGGACAACTTTGCTTTGGAATGAACACATGGAGTATTGAGAAAGGGTAGTAATACAAATATATTCTTGGACGATTGAACAATTAAAAAGTTAAATGGTTACAGAAAAAAACTGAAACATAAACACCAGATTTGCTTTGGACAACACATAGGAAGTAGCTGAACTCAAAGCTTAACATGGCATATATGTAGGCTCACTTTTCATTTCAATATCAAGAATTTGGAGTTCTGTTGATGGTTAGCGATGAAAAGAATCATGATTTGTCTCCATATTCGGAGCTGGCTAGCAGTGGACCTGCCATGCTTACTTTGTCATTGCCCATTGGATAAATTTGAGTAATTTTTCTGGGAGTCACTCTGCAACTAACATGTAAATTTTAAAATTCTGAATTCGACTGCACACATGCGACACACAATTGAACGGAATCAAATAGCTAAGGTGAGACCAGAAAAAGTAAATAGAGTTCACTAACCTGTTCCTCAGCGGCTGTGATGAACTACTCGACCAATTGAACGCATGACGAGAGGGCCACCGGGAGAACAGGGACGACAACCGATGCCTTGGGTGCGTCGGGCACCAAGTAGCAGCGGCGTCGCAAGAACCTTTTCCGCCATGACTTCACCAGTAGCCGTTACAGCCTTGTACACAAGACCAAATGATCCATGGCCCAGAATCGTTGTGACCTTTTTGGTAGCCTTCTGCAGATCCCAGAACAACCAACACAGTAACATGGAGCAATCAGAAAAAACATTACTTTGCTTCTGGCTACTCACACCAACACTAACATTCACAATAAGATCATGGTATAAGTTGCATGCATGCATTTCTGGAGCTGCCATGAACGTACGAATTCTAATTGACGCACGGAGAAACGACTATGAACTGACTTGCGTATCTTATCCTATCCTTAGATCAAATGCATTAGACAGTCAAGCTGATATATTTCAAATTTACAATTCACTGATCATGTGATCTTAATACTACAACCAGGATTGCAACGGAGTAGTTGCCATACTTGTAATGGTACTTCGGGATCCCAAAGACTGACAGGGGCTGGTCCCTGCCGTTGTTACCCCGCCCGCCCCAGAAGGCGACTTGCTTCCCCGCCGGCAGCAAGTTGTTGCCCCAGCAACTTTACAATTTTAGAATGCCAAGTGTACGTTTTCCACGTGTAGGTGTAGCAGCTAACAACTTTGAACCAAACTGAAAAAAAGAGTCAAAATGGAATCCTTTCTAACCTCACAATGCCTATGAATTTCAAGTAGCCATCATTTAAACACCAGACATATTGTCCATGCAAAAAGAGGTGAAAAATAATCAAATCTGAACTGAACTTGACAGAATTCAGAAGTTGTATAGCTGACAATGGACCATCATATACAACAAGATCTAGTAAGCAATGCAAGAGCACACACGTACAAAGTGGTGAACATGCCTGATTGGTACTTTAATTTAACACATAGAATCTTGGAGTTAGCTAGGTCTAGTTATGCATACAGAGTTTAACATCAAGTGGCTGAGTTAGCAATGTCTAGCACGAAGTTAGGCATGTGACCTTCATGGGAAGAACTGGACATACCAATTCATTTGCGATGCCGGGCCAGACCAACCTGCTTCTTTCCCCCTCTGCGCTAGCTCCAAGATGCATGTCTCGTCCTGGTCGATTAACCGCGACCTCGACCACTTCGATCCGCCGATGCTCGGCACCGCTACCAAGACCCACGAATCAGTCCTTGCTTGTGTCCATGGTGAAGACGAAGTCGCAGAATGCAGATCTTGGCCAACCCACCGACCACGCACACATGCGTTGGCGCGGCGCTCCGGGCGTGGCCTGATTTCTGCAGCCCGCTGAACCTTCCTCGCGCGTGCCCGCACTTCCTCGGCCTCTGCTTGTTCCTGCGCCTCGCCGTAAACATCATCAGGTGTGTAACCTGCATATAGAAGAAAGATTGATAGGTGCATGTAAAACTAAGAACCAGCAAATCTGATTCAAACACAAAAGAACAAGGGCAAGCTTATGCTATCCTGCTGAGCCACGACCGGCACTACCCCTCGTCGTTTCGGGAGGACCAGGAGAGCACGAGCAGACCACCTCTGGAGAAGACCACCTCGTCAGCCGCGCATGGAGTCGAGGAAGGCCGAGCCTAGAATTGCGGGAGGCCGCGACGACGTCAGCAACGTCGCCACACCGAAGATGGGGGTTGCTAGAACGCCCGTGCGAGAGAAGAGAGGTGGATAACCAGATAACAAACCAGGGGATCGGATCGTGGGCAGCTTCCTGATCAGATCGTGGGCGGGATCAAGACGGGAAGGAGGATATGGATTCAGGGGATGAGAGGGGTGGGGTGGGGATCACGAGAGCTTATCCATGTCTTGGGGCGGCCATCCATGCCGAGTGCGGCGACGTATTCGAGGCACCGGCGGCGCCGGCGTTCTCGTGATCCATGACGGCCGCGTCTGCTTGGATAGGCAGATCGGCGGCGGTAGCGGCGGCTGCGCTGCCCGGATCGGCAGATCGACGGCGGCGAATCCGGCGAAGGCGGCGGCTGCGTATCCTTGGGAGAGGGGGAGGAGCGGATCGGGACCTCGCTCGGGAGAGGAGCCCTGAGTCTCGAGGGGATCGAGGGGCACGAGGAATCGCTCGTAGGTGCGAGCGTGTGGCTAATTTTTCATAGGTTAATCGCCGTAGATTTTTTTAGGACAATTTTCTGTGGATGAACCGTAGTGTTTCACAACAGGCCTCGTGGTACCAGTGGCGGAGCTTGCAGCAAATTCCTGGGCGGACTGGGTAGGCTAAATTGCATGAAATTGGTTTTTCCCCGGCCCATGGGCCGGCTATAATAGGAGGAGGTGGTGCAAAGCTGGGCGGGCCATGGCCCATGTAGCCTTGCTGAAGCTCCGCCACTGCGTGGTACCATACCGTTTTTTTTGTCGGTCTTGAGGGCGGAAGGAGGGAATCGCTGGTTTGCGGGAGGTGGGATTGAGGACGAAAATTAACCGTCTCTGGTGGGACGAAAATTGACCGGCGAAGACTACCAACTGCTCCATTAGAAGTAGAGATGGTCCAAGCTTATGACAAACCAATGTTGAAAACGAATAAAGCAAAAGCACATCTTCCACTTCCAGCATGGTAGCCGACAACTTCACCGCGATTATTTAGGTCGTACGTAATCTATGCGTGCTTGGATTGCTAATCCGAAGCAGCCCAGCATTTTCCGTTGGCCCGCCGTTGTCTCTCAGGTCTCAGCATCTGATCATCTCCTCCTCGGCCTCCTTGATGTGGATCGTCACAACCAGAACACCAGGTTCCGCATCTTCTTCGCCTACTCTGCCTTCTTCTCCGGTTTTTGCTGCAATTCAGACGAAGGTCAGAACAAAAAGTTAATTACGTAATATTTTGATAAGTTGTGTATGCTTGTTCTTATGTGTGTCTGTGTACAATTTGCATGTTTTACCATTAGCCCTTCTGTGATTTGTCATAAAAGAGGTGAGCATGAGCATATCCTTGTGTGTTACTCTGAATCTGAAGTTTGCAACTAACTGAAGAGCCGGCCAGGAACCCAAGGTTCAGATTCAGAGTTGAGACCTCTCGTGTTCAGAGCCGTCAAAGTTCCTAGTGTTCTCCCGCCACATGACAGAATCGATGGCATCTTCTGCTCGTCCCTGAAGCACAAAACTTTTCAAATTAAGACTGGCCAAACACGCATACAAAGAGAAGAATTCTGTCGTGTAAAGTTCAGTTAAATTCACTTGAGTTTGGGCAACCTGTTGTCGGCCTTGCTCTTCTGGCTTCACCGTTGACAGCTTCCTGTCCATCTGCCTTCGCCAGTACAGCGTCTGTGAGCCCACAAATTTTAACAGTGATATATAGAAATGAGAAAACAAGGAAACTATAGCATAACAGTGGGCATGGGGTTTCCATGTGACCCCCCGCGTCGCCCCCGCTCGGGCAACTCGGGCGGGGACGAAACCCTAGCAGCCGGGGGTTCTCCTTCCTTCTATCCCTCTCTCTGCCGCCGCGGAAGGACGCCGCCGGCCTATAGCCCTTGGGCCGACGGCGGTGGCGGGGGCCTCCCTCTCTCCTGTGTCATGGGGATGGTGCGGAGCCCTGCGGAGTGAGGAGGCACGGCCGATCTGGCCTTAGCAGCGCATAGTGACAAGTTGTAACTGGAGTGAAGCGGATGATTGCGACTGAATTTGAAGTCTTGTGCTTCCGTCGTCTTTTCTGCTGCACAATCATCAACTGCGTCAGCACCTAGGGTGGTGAATGTATCCCCTTCTGGTGCCTTCCTTGTCTCTCCTCTATTCCCTCCCGCAGTCACAACGGGAGCGGCGTGGACGCTAGTGACAATGCAGACGCTTTTGACTGGAGTTGTTGCCGATGAGTTGCTGTAGATATAGCCATTAATGTCGATATGGATGCAGCCAATCATGATGTAGCCGTGGTCGAGGTGGTCGTGGATGATGATGTAGTCGTCGTGGATGATGAAGCCGCACAAAGCCGAAGGCACAAAAAAAGTGCAATATATTGTAGATGACGGAGTTGCAGTCTTGGACAATGCACCTTGCGAATGTCAGAGGGTGCCGTCAGCGATGAGCCCATCAGTTTTGCCAGGACCGGGGGAAACTCATCGAACACACATCGGTTTTGCCAGAACCGTGTGGCTGTGTAGGGGGCGTCAGTATAGTGACGTCGTGTCGATGCAGTCATGCCGCCGTAGATGATACGATCATTGCTGTCGTCGAGGTTGCGTCTTGTAGAAATTTCTGTCAGAGGACGCTAGGTGTCCATCTTGTGGACAAGGCGGCAGCAGTGTGTTGATGAAGATGTTGGTGAAGACCATGTTGATGAAGACCTTGTCGATAAAGTGTCGACAATGACTTGCGGCGACGTGTTGACAATGATGTCGCTTGATGGCGACGGTCTGTCAATGCGGTGTCATGCCAAAGAATTGGCTCGTAGCCTCGCGTAATCGTACAGCTTGATGAAGAGATTCGGCTTGATGACGAATATATGGTGCAGATGGCGTCGATGTAGCATGCTCGGTGCGCCCTAGGTCGATGCTGGTGTAGTTTGTTGGTTCGATGCAGGTCGCTCTGTGTGATCTTGGTAATAGCCAGACATGCATACATACATGCATCCGACGGATCTGAACCTTGGAGGACTTCAGATGTTACGTGCCTGGCCTGCTAGCTCCGTGGGTGATGTCGCCCGCCTGGCGTTGTTGCTAGGGCCGGATCGGAGTCCTCCCATGGATGATTGCCCGGGATTAACGCCCTCCCATGATTGGATGTGCATATCATGCTTCTGTTCTCCTGGTGACAGTTATTGATGCACCCGTACGCGTGCGGCTGTGGGCCCACGCCAGCGCCCCGACGGAGCCGCTGCCCTGTGTGCCAGCTCGTTCGGCCGGCGCCCGTGTTGGACACGTTGCGTGAAGGGTCGGTGCCGTACATTGCTGCCGCCCCAGACGTCGGATCCCGCAGGACTTGATAGAGTTCTGGATGCCGATCTCTGCACTGATTTTCACCGGATTTTAAGTGTTTGGGGGATTTATTGATGGCTAAAAGAATTTCGGAATTTGGAACTGTTCTATGAAATTGATCTAATCTACGGAACCGACCGACCTTTGATTGATGGAGTGCCGTGCCTTCGGAAAGAGAAGATTAATCTTTCGAGGGCGGCGCGCTGCGGAGGTGGTGAAGTAACTTAGGATCGGTGTTGTGAGACTAACCGCTCTAATACCATATAGAAAATATAAATTATTTGTGTTGTATTGATCCGACCCTCATATTTGAGTATATATAGAAGTACATGCCGGGTTAGGGACTTGGAGTACAAGACAAGGCAATGCATGTTTAAACTAATTCTATCTTTATCTCTTTATCTGTAACTCGAACGTACTTCCTCCGTTCCATATTACTTGTCTCTGATTCAGTACAAAGTTGTACTAAATCAGCGACGAGTAATATGGAACGGATGGAGTATTATACTTCTAACAGTCTGGCCGGTTGGTGGTCTGCCAGCTCGCCTGGAGAGGATGGACGTGCCTCCCTGCGCTGCTTGCGTCCAGATCTGGCACGGCAACAGGATGCACGACGGCGGCCGCCATTGCTCCGGTTCTGGTGGACGTTGGCTAGATTTGGAAGCACATCCTTGGATCCGGTGCGTGGTGTGCTGGATTCGAACCTGGTCTCACATGGTGATTCTATCTTCTGGGTCAATCCTAGCTCCGACTGCTTGTTCTATGAAACGACGATATGTGGTGCCCGCTTGCCTGACAGGGAGGTGGGCGCCCTGGTTGGGATGCGGGGGCCATCGTTGGTGTGGCTGCTACGCCGCAATCCGACGCCCTGTTTCCTGGGCTCCGTTGGCGGATCGGTAATCTCATCCCAGCGGTGGCCTGGCTGCCACGAAAAGGTCTTCGTGAGGGTTTCTCATTTCAAATCCGGTGGTTGACTCCAGCGGTGAGATGCAAACTATGGACTACAACTTATGCAGATGGATGGTGGTGCAACTGTGACGGTCACACATCGCATGTAGCTGTTGTGATCATGGAAAAGTGGTAGCGACAAAATCTAACTGATTTGAGGGCGGTGCTTCTTGAGCACCCGGTCTCAAGCTTTGGGGTGAAAGTCTAGGTGACCCGGGTTGGTTATGTTTGGGAATGGCAATATTTTTATGTCGTGACCTTGTTGAAGGGCATTGCTCGGATATGCTCGGACTAGTTCTTGAAGAGAAAACCTAGATTCTAACCTTGAGTGGTTGGATCCGGTGATGGCGGCTATTGAGCGCTACTCCCTGAAGGTGTTGATATTGAAGAACGTCACCGTTTGTGTGGTGTCATGAGATTGTTGGTGCGGATACGGTCATTGATGTAGTTTGCAGATTGTGGATTTGACCGCTCAATTTTTTTCCTCGTCTATATATAGCTTTGGTCTTATATGATTTTGCTATTTTATGGCTTGTTCTTATGTGCGTGCGTTGTTGTTGTCTGTGTATATCCTATCTATGCAGTGTGCTCATTGTGTTTTTATTCTCTTGATACTTCATTTTGAGCCAATAAAATTCATCCTTTATAAAAAAAACAGACTGAGAAGAGAGTTTTTTAGGGGGGAGAGGAGAATTTCGTTGTGCAAAGTTCAGTTAAATTAGTTGAGTTGAGTTTGGGCCACCTGTTGTTGGCTTCTGCTCTTGTGGCTCTCCTCTGTCTTCACATCGCCAGCTCTCCTCGAACTCCACCTTTAGCAGCTCTGCATCTACTGGTCCATCATGTTTTGAAAAATGGTACTTCCTTTGTTTTCTTTTAATATAAGGCTTTGTAGGGATTTCAATATGGACAACATTCATATGTATATAGATATATTTTGAAGTAGATTCACTCATTTTATTTTCTATGTAATTCATATTGAAATATCTAAAAATATTTATATGTAAGAACAGAGGGAGTATATAGAAAGTGTACATTTGACTATACAAGAAAGTAAGCATATATGTAGAATGGCCCAAATCGTTGAGGAAATGAAAATAGCTTATCAAGTTTTAAGTTCAAACAATTATCAACAATGTGCAGGGAGCTTCCATGGATAATATGTCTAGCTGGCCAAAGAACTTGCTCAAGAAGAGATAACTAACCGAGAGGGGCTAAATGAGCAAAAATATGAAATATCCATCTTAATTTGTACAAGACCAGATAATTAATAATTAAGACCACAAAAAACAAATCTTCCAGCAAATAATGCTGTCATAAAAAGTACGAGCAAACAAATGTGCTCATATGCAGCAAGATTATTACTGGCCTATCATGTTTCTCACACAATCACCAAACCAAAGGCCCATAAACAAATGGCGCGCTTAGATCACAAAATAATCAGGCACCTCACATACTTTATGTACTAGTATCTGTCTGAAGGGTACATCACGCAGTTATCTAGCTAAGGATGCTGGGAGCATACACGACAACCAAAATAAAGATATGTTTGAGTAAGTACCTGAAGGGAGGCAGATTCATCCATGGTCCAATCTCAGAAATGCAGCGATGAACATTTGAGATTGTAGCCCTGCTTGGAATTGTGCACCGAGCTGAAAGGCAGACATACTTGTCATATGGGGCAAAGAGATGGATACATAAATCTTGTGAAATAAAGTATTGTTTGGTCTTTTATGGGAGAAAATGATTGTACCTCCATTCTGGCAACGCATCATCGACTGTACATGTTTGTATAGCCAAAGGATACACTAGGGTGGTTGGGGTGTTTATTGGCTCCTTCCCGAATGGCAGCCACTGCAGCATCAATTATCCTCTCATCTTCCCCCTCTATTTCACATTTGATAGTATTGAGGCTGGGGAGATTTCCGATTCCGAGATCAAAAGCACCGCTAGTACTGAGAGACCCACCAGTTACGAAACATGATATTTCGAGGTTCTCAACCATGGGCATGGCTCCAGGCGCAAACGTCAAACTAATAGTCATCATAGTAGACACAAATACCCTCAAGGATGGGAATCCAACTTCACCACTGACTATGATTTCAGGCCACTCTTCTGGTATTTCACTTTCATCAGGGGCCAGAACCAGATATTGCAGAAGAGGTAAGCCTCCAAGGATATAGAAATCTTTCTGCTCAGCTCCCACCAATTCAAGGCTTAAATCATGGAGGTTGACAAGGGAGCCCACCCACTCTGGAACATGGGGAATCCTCGAACCCAAGGCCTTAAACGTCCGGAGGCTAAGTGGCATAGGGCACAAAGATTCCTCTACTAATTCGGGGCCATACCGAACAGTTAGAGAGAGAAGGTTCCCTGGGTTTTTAAGGGAAGCGACAATGACAACTTTCTTAGGCTCATCTTCAGGATACACTCGGTCAGCAGAACTATAATCGGCAAAAACAAGGGACAATACCTTCAGACTCTGCAGCTGCCCAAATTCTTGCAGGAAGTTACATGACTGGCTATAGACGCTGACAAGCTTCAATTTCTGTAGTGCTTGCAGCTTTGAAATTCCACAAGGAAATGTGACATTGTCGTTGACTAGTAGGTGCAACAGTCTCTTAAGATTGACAATAGATGTTGGTAACTCACAAACAGAGGTGGCTCTTATATCCAATATCTCTAAGCACCATAGGTGTCCTATTTGTTCTGGGAGCTTACTTACTTTCTCCGCTCTTAGGAGGCTCAGATACCTCAGCTGAAACAACATCCCTATATTTTCAAGATGATGGTTCTCTAGCTGTTTGCAACCTTCAAAGTTCAGAAAACGCAAATGCCTGAACTTATCCATAGAAGGGATTTTCACTGATATCCCGAACATATCAAGTGATCGTACATGAGACAACCCCAAGCCTCTTGGCAATATCAGTTCTTTTTGCTTGGCGTCTTGAAGGGAGAGCCGACGAACTTTCCTTTCTATCCCAACAGTTAAATTAGGAAGAACACCTACCAAAGTAACAAAGTTTTCTTCGATAGATTTGGATATGATGAAATCAAGAATTGTGTCATGAAGTCGACAACTCTTGACCCTATCAAATGAGCCTGTCTTCCCAGGTTGCATCAAACTCCTATTGATAAGCTCATTAAAACACCTTTCACCAAGCTCATATGTTGTACTATATCCGGCTTCTGTGTGAATTATTCTTTCAGCAATCCACCTATTTATCAAAACCTTCTTCTTAATAATAGAATCTTCAGGGAATATACTCAAACATAAGAGACAAGATTTTAGATGAGCAGGTAGTTCAAAGTAACTAAGTGACAATATCTTCATCATTCCTTCAACACTGGGATTTCTTTCAAGTGCTCGACCAATCGAATCTTCAACTTGTCTCCATGGACCCTCTGTCCTTTCAGTATTCGCCAACAAACCAGATATAGCAATGATTGCTAGAGGCAACCCAGCACATTTTATCAAAATATGTTCAGAAACCTTTTTAAGGTATGATGGGCATTTTTCTTCAGAGTTGAATAATCTTGTGTAAAATAACTGCTTAGAGTGCACCATATCAAGAGGCCTTATGCAATAAATATCTCCAATGAATGGTGTTGAACGACATGATTTAGCTACTTCATTTATACGAGTAGTGGTGATTATGAAACTGCCAGAACTAGCCACGGGAAGTGCAAGCTTAAGAACATGCCATGTATCCACGTCCCATATATCGTCAAGAACAACAAAATACCTGCACACAGATACATGGTTGATATCAGTGTGGTAATGATATAAATTGTGTACACCAAGATAGACAAATACATAAAACTATAAACATGGTCACGGTGGCAGCAACTGGTATCAATACCCATCCTTGTAGATTTATAGCCAGCTGCATCAAGGGATCAAAAAGACTTTTGGAGTGTGGCAGGATAGATATTATTGGGGTAGTTTGTGTTTATAGCTAACGATTATATATGTGGGTTATTAGACTAACAGCAGATGACATGCGAATGAAATATAGCCAACAATTGGCTCTATTATTATCCTTGCTCATAGTACATATGATGAGATTGATTATTAGTGTTATATTTGCTTTGGAAGACATGTAGAGGTAGGCTCTTGCAGGAGACCCCACTCTCCTACATATAGATAATAGTATCCTGTAAGCGGACTATAAGTCCCCTATTATAGTTGCTCTAAGGCTACGTCAGATGCTCAATGATAGGAGTGGCTATGTCTTAAAGATGTTATGAGACCAAAGGTAAACAAAAAGGACATAAATCATGGATGAACATTTGTAAGATGTGTGGTTTTTGGTACTCTCTCATTTTTATTTACTTGGCATCAACATGAACTTGACTATGAACATTTGACCATTGCTTCTTGTACCACATGAAGTTAAACAGAATGGCGATAAAACTGCATGAAACTATTTTTATTATACAAGAAAATACTAGATGGTTTGGATGTGAAATATCTAGATAACTTTATTAACTATATACTTGAGGATGAGAAGTCAAAATAAAAAGTGTACCTTTTGTTTACTAGGAAATCAGTGATCTTGATGATGAGTTGTTGTACACTCCCTGCTTCGGTGTCAGCGTAACGTTGGCCACTAACTTCACTAAGAATAGTCCTTAGGATATTCATCATGTCTGGATTCCTTGACACAGATAAGAAGGCCCAACATTTAAATTTTCCTTTGAGATCTTGAAACACTTGGTTTGCAAGAGTTGTCTTTCCCATTCCTCCGGATCCCACGATGGATACCAACTTCATTTTAGTTTGTGTTGATGCACCTTCGGTCAACAGTTTAATTACCTCGGCCTTGGGTTCATCAATTCCTACAAGCTCGGAGGCATGCTGAAAGATGGCAAGAGCTCTGGGGTCGATGGTTGCATTTTTTTTCTTGGAGAAGGTCTCACGGGCCTTGTACCTTTCATTCCTCTCCGCCACCTCAGTGATTTGCTTCTTTAGATCTAGTATCTCCTTGCCGATCCGATGACGAGCCTTCATCTTGCCCAACGAGTTCTTCATCTTTTCCAAGAAACCATCTGGCTTTGAATTTTCGCTGCCCACACTTTGCATGAAGTCATCGATGGAGTCCTCCATGTCATAGGAGAGCTCACGCACCTCATTCATCCACACCTTATCTTGCACATCAAGATCCTCCTCCTCTGACATCTTGAGAAGAAATGCATCCATGGTGGTGAGTTCATGGGTGAGCGACTTGATGTCGCCACGCACAGCCTTGAACCTCTTGTACTTATTGCCCACCAGAGCGCCTAGCTTCTCCAGGACAGGTTTCAAGGCTCCCGTCGCTGCACTGACCACAGCCGCCTCCATGGTTGCAAGTGGTGCTACCTGAGACGCACGCTTTCTCAGTTAATTTTTTGTATAAGAAATTTTGTGTATATGAAGGTGAAAACAGAGTAATTAGCTTATAGCTTAGCGAAGCTAGGATAGCTTTTTTTGCGGGGAAAAGCTAGCATAGTTACATCGCCGGCCGTAATTAAAATCATTATTTTCGTCAGCCGCTCTACTTGCATAGCTAAAGACGAAGTTTTTCTTATCCCGAATTGCCAAGTAAACTAGTACCAAGTTGGTGAACAGTTCTTCTGGTACGTAGCTAGATCTACGTTTGAAGCTAGATCTGCTCACCACAAGCTCTCTTCACCCGAAAAGAGGAGGTAAAAAGGGAAGCTAGCTAGCTAGGAACTAGGAAGATCCGGCTTGCTATAATCACGCTTAATCACGAGATGCCAACTCAAGCTAGCAAGCTAGGAAGATCTGGCTTGAAGAACTAACCTGGAGATGCCCTCCCTTGTGAAGGTGGATGACGAACTTGACGGATTTGAGAGAGAGAGAGAGAGAGAAGGTTGACTCTGGCCTCTGGGTCTCCGGGTGCGTCGACGTGGTCCTTCTTTTGATTTGAGAGAGAAGGTTGCCTCTTGGAACGCATCTTCTGCCAAGTTCAACTTGACGGCGTGGCCACTTGGAGGCCAATAATTGAATAACCCAAAACAGTAGCAGGAAGAGAGAGAGAGAGAGAGAGAGAGAGGAGGGAGGCGTGACCACGGCTTGGAGGACCAGGCGCAGGTGGTCCGCGCCCATGACAGGCCATACCACACTGCCAAATTTGGTGTTTCCTAGATTTGCCTTGTCACACCCCCGCGTCGCCTCGCTCTGGCGACACGGGGGGCACAAACCCTAGCGCCGCCACCGTTCTCCCCTTCCCCCACCCGTCTCGCTGCCGCCAGAGGGTGCCCGCCGGCGAAGTCTGGCCGGCCCCGAGGAAGGCGGCGGCGGGGCACTTCCTGTTGTTGGTGCGGCGCGTCGAGAGGAGCCGCTGGAGGACGCGCAGAGGAGATCCACGAGCTCTGGATCCGCGGTCCGTGCGCCAGATCCGCGCGATGCGCATCCATGACGACGCGGTGGAGGTGCCTGGCCGCGCGCCCGTCCAGCACTTGGTGAGCACGCGCACTTAGTTGCGTGTGGGAGCCGTTGGGCGCGGTCACCGCAGCGTGGAAGCCCAGGGGCGGCGCGAACGCGCGTGTCGCCGTCGTGGGGTGCCGCTGGGGGACGCGGGCTCCCTCGGCTGGCGGCCTCTGGCTGGGAGCGGCCGGATCTGACGGGCCTCGCCGGCCGGATCTGGCGCTATGGAGGCCGGAGGCCCGGAGGTGGCTCGGCCGGCGACTATTTGCAAGCGGATTGCGTGGTGGCTTCTGGTCGGGATGGTGGTCTGGGGTAGCGTGGTCTGGGCAGTGCCTTAGGGATGCTCTGGGCTTGCGCTACCGGCGGTGCTCCGGCTAGTTTTGGGCGGTGCAGCAAGTAGCATCTGCTGCTCCGATCTGGTGGCGGTGTGTTGGAGACGTCGTCCCAGCATAGGTGCTCGGTTCCTGACGAAAGTCATGCTCAACTACGGTTTGGGCTGATGGCGAATGATGCCTTTGGGTGTGATTTTCCTTATTGAAGGCGCCATCGAGGGGATCTGACACCTCTCCTTGCTCTATGTTCTTGTCTCCCGGTGAAAACCGTGTGTAATGGTGGCGCCAGTGGTGTCATTACTTTGTTGGAAGCATTGCCTTGAAGGCAAATCTGGTGTGAGGAGCACTTGGTCAGTGGTGGTGTGGTGGATCTGGAGCGGGCAGCGTTTTGGTGAGCTTGGAGCTTTTGGTGGTGCATCCCTTTGCGGATGGTCGTTCGGTCAACGGTGAGAGCAACAAGAGCAACCTTCACATGCAAGTTGCGCCAGGCGAGCTATGTCTACTTGCCTCGCGGGATCGGAGCGGCATATGTATCGCTCTTTCGGACATATCGTTCCTCTCCGTGTCCTCGATGTTTGTAGATATGCTCGTGGCAGCCCGGTACAAGACTACGGTTGTCGGTGTGCATTTTGGTAGCAGCGAAGGCGCTCGAGTGCCCGCCCGGGTGTGTTGTGGGGTTTTGGCTTTCCGGCGCTTTTGTATGTGTTGTGATGCTTTAGACCTAGTCTAACTAGGCGTTGCTTGGTTTTTGCCCGGTTTTCCTTAATAAACCGAGCAGTCCTTTTTTCGTTCTTTTTTTTTAGCACTCGTCTTTATGCGGTGCATTCCTCCTTTGAGGGTGTTCTTGTAATACCTTTTTCTGATCAACGAATTTGGCAGTTCTCCTGTCAATGTTCAAAAAAAAAATTTGGTGTTTCCTTTGGACAAAGTTAGCCGGATCTTACCCCATCCGCAATTATTTGGAGTCTGACCTTTTTTTTCTACTGTTGTAGTCATTGACGGTAGGGTTAGACGACATACCGCCCCTGTGTAACCCTATCGCTAATGACTAGGACGGTAGGCTATTCGCAATACAAGATGCATGTGAGTGCATGTGAGCACTGGTCTCTGTAAGTGTATGTGTATGCGTACATTCACCTGCATCCATCTCTCCCTTACTCTCTCCTCCCACATGCACTAGTAGTGCCTAGCTCATACTATCACAAATTTAAACAATGGATGAACTGCACGACTAGTTTCAAAAGGCTAGGCAGACAGCAGGCAACCCGCACATCGGCACCACATAATTGCAAAACGCTAGCCAGCCTAGCCGGCATACATGCACGACCACATTTTTAAAGGGAAAGTAGTGGCAGGCCCTACCGCCGAAGACCCTAGTGGCAGGTTATAATGATCTACCGTCAACGATTTTGAAGGTAGGGTATTTTTCATGTTATGACAGTGCCATCAGGCAGTTAAATCCTGCTGCCGGAGACCATGACGATAGGCCGTGTTGTCCTACCGCCAAAGACTATAACGATAGAAAAAAGTCAGATCCTGATTTTTTTTAAACGAAAGAGGTTTTAGAGATCCCGAAATACCTACGGATGGCGTCCAGTCAAAACACCAAATTTGCACACGCCAGGTGCATCTACGGACCGCCCACCGGGAGAGAGCAGTAGCGGCCGTGGGGCCAACTTGGCAGAGCCTCGATTTTCACCCCGTGTGTAGCCGATCACTTGAGTGTTTTACTCTTTACTTTTACCCCCGTGGCGCGGACCTGGACGTGTGGTAAGAGAGAAGAAAGTAAAGTGAGAACGGTAACGTAAATAAAACAAGTAAAACAGTGGTCGTTTCGTTTGCTCCCGTCAGACAGAGACATGGCCTTTTCCTTGCTTCCCAGTTCCTTCTTTGCAAAAGCAAGCGGCGTCTGCCAGCCACGAGTACGAAATTTAAATACTTGAGGTACCACTAAAGCCAATTAAGGTTACCATCCAATCAAAGATAAGATATTGTCTCCCCGCAAAAAAAAAGATACGACAAATGTATGTGGCAACCGTGTGCCAGATTGCAAAAGTTGGCAACCCATCGATCTACGTCTTGTCCGTCCATGAGCGTTCAAACTCCTACGCCAGAGGGCCGAGCCACTGATCCGCGAGCACACCGTCACCAGCTTCGATCGGCCCGGGCGTTCCCTTTCACCCCCTCGAGCACCAGCGCCTCCTCAAGTCGCCACCATTGCCCGCTGCTCCAACGAGCAGCTCCTCCACGGCCAACACCCGCCGGAGCAGGAGCTCCATCACCATCTCCATGTGATTCCTATCTCCCCTGTAGCGCATCCACGGCCACGTCCTCCACACGTCTCGGCCATAGTAGCCGCTGCTGCCGCTTCCCGAGCTTCGTCCCCACAGCCATAGGCTCCGGCTGGCGCTGACGTCAAGATAGGACACTTGCATCGATCTTCTTCATCTTTGAATAATAAGTTGTGTGCTCAACTGAAATGGATTCGTAATGAAGAGATCTATAAAATTCATGTTGAAGTCGATGTGATTCGTAGCCTAAATCACCAAGTATAATGGGTAATTGGGAGTCTTTTGTGTTCTCAGTTTTCAGATACATGTTCGTTGGTTGGAGGTTGAAGACAGCATCTTCGGTGGGCTTCAGAGTGAGAAAGGAGCTGGGCTGGGCCCATTGGTGGGTAGAGGCCTTGTTAGGAAGAGCTAATATTTGGCTCAAAAACAAAGGAAAAGTCAGTGTTTTCTTGTTTTTCGCTTCTCTGGTGCACCATTTGTACTACTCCGTCCGTCCCAGAGTAAGCGTCAAAG